GGACCTGGAACTGCCACCCCGGGACCTGCCACTGCCACCCCAGGACCTGGAACTGCCACCCCGGGACCTGCCACTGCCACCCCCTAGGACCTGTCTCGGTACCTTCAGCCCCCGGTAATTCCCTCTGCACCCCCCAGGACCTGCCCCTGCAGACCCCAGTCCCTTCCGCAGTCCCTGCCCCAGCCCAGCCCCGGAGAGCAGCAGCTCAGGCTGTATCCCTGGAGCTGAGTGAATTCATGGACCCAAATCCTTACAGCCCTCACACCCTCGGTTTGTCCAACAGAACTACAGAAGAACTCCATGGGTTTTGCTCACGCACTTTCCTGCGTGGTCTGTCAGTCAGTTCAGCTTCTCAAGGTGCTGAAATCCTGCCCAGGAGCACTCGAGCAGCCTAAAAGTGACAGTGGTGTTTTCATGCAATCTCACTTTTATGGTGCCTGCTATGCACGGATTCCAAAGCACTTGTGCAAGAAAATTAGTGAGATGATTGAGACTGCACAGTCAGTCAAAAGGAGAGCACAAATCCACACAGCAGGTTCCTGGTGCTCCTGCTCCGGTCTCCTCAGATGACACCAGAATGTTCCCTGGTGTTGTTCCATCACTTTGTGTCACGAGAGGAGCTGGAGCACCAGGAGAGGTGCCCAAAAGAGCCTGTGGGAATTTCTCCCTTGAAGATCTTTAGAACCTGACAAGGCACTGAAGCAACTTGAGTGACTTTGCAATCAGCCCTGCTCCGAGGAGGAGATTGGATTATGGGCTCCCCAGGGCCTTCCCAGCCTCAATTATACCTAAGGTTGGGTAAATGGTATGAAGATGTTCTGACGTGTGTCAAGGGAAGATTTACGCTTTTATCCACTTGAGGTATATTTTAGGCCAGAATAATATGGATTATTAACACACACTCAGTCAATAAATGAAGTAGCAGCTTGTCTGGGCTGGCTCTGAGTCCTTGGAAAATACTTGTTGGGGTGTGGAAGGGACCCAAATGTCCCTTTTGTGCCCACCCAGCCTCAGGAGTCCTTTGGCTCACCCTGCAGTCACACCAATATTTAACTTCACTGCTGGCAACAGCTCCACTCAAAGACATCTTTTCCAGATGCTTGAATATTTTAATAATATAAAAAACAAGCTGCAACAGCTGAAAATATTAGAAGATGCATTTATCGTATCATTGGTATCACCTTTACTGCAGGTCTTTCAATTTTTGGTTATCTTGCTCTTTTCCAAGCATTTAAGCTGCACCACAGTGAAAACCTTGTGCTAATATAATAACTAAACCTTTTCCATGAAAGATTAACTATTGATTTCTCAGTCCCTTATCAGAGCAGGTAAAAAATACAAATGAAATACTAAGGCTAGCACTGAAAAAAAATACAAATGAAATACTAAGGCTAGCACTGAAAAATCAAGTTACTAAGGCTTTCACTGTAAAAGTTGTGTCATTAGCAGAGATGGGGGTTCTGCTCACTTACCTGAATAGTACACCAAAAATTGTCCAAGTGTGAACAGAAGGCAGATTTTATCATTACCTGCTGAGTTCAGCAGTGAGTACTTACTGCAACAAAGATTTGCCTCCTACATGTAGCAGTGTTTTACCAGGGTTTCCTGGCACAGATACATTTTTCTGCACGTACAGCACATTGAAAACATGGCAAAGTATTTTACCTGCTTTAAACCTTTCACTTACTAAGAGAAAACAAATTCAGACACAACATTAACACTTACCAGTTTTAGACATAAACAGTAGCCATTTCATACAAAGGGTAAGGCAAACTACAAAAAGTTAAATCAGAACTTACATGTGTCAAATGCTCAAGAAGGTTAAATTAAGTTTAAAAAAAAAATTTGATAAGCATTTTGTTGCCTATGTATAAAAGAAACTGTCAAATTAGAGTAAATGAAATGTTCAGTTATCCCTGGAAAGCAGGAGTCCAAGCCAACCTAAATCTCCAAGGGCTTATGTTCTTCTTGCTGCTCTAAAGGCTGTTCTTCACTATTCTGCAGCAAACTCCAGGTACTCTATGACATCATCACTGATGATCTTTGGGGCTTTTTTTTCATCTATAAAATGGAGATAAAAGAGAAAATATCAAAACAACTGTTGACTCAAAGCACTGCACAATTATAGAACACCTTGTAGTAGACAAAGGCTTGTCACTTAACCACCCCAGTGGTATCCCAGGCGGGGCAGCAGCTGGATCCCTGGATCCAGAGAACAGCAGCAGGATCCCTGGATCCAGAGAACAGCAGCAGTGCTCCTGGATCCAGAGCACAGCAGCAGTGCTCCTGGATCCAAGGAAGGCCAGCAGTGCTCCCTCTGCATTCCCAGACAGCCCCTCTGTGTGAGGCCTGTACTGCTCAACCCCCAGGAAGCTGCTGGAGAGCCACAAAGCAGCCCCAGGACGGAGGCTGAACAGAGGAAATCCCAATAAACACAGGGATTAGTTCAGTCCTTAACTGCTGCTCTCATTCTCTGTGCACCTGGCAGGTTCAAAGGCTCTCTGATATTTTGCTGCTTTAGCTCTGTCTCTCCAGCAGCAGCCCTGATGGAATTCCATAAGAGCCCATTCCCCTGGGTAGCACAGCACTGAACTGACACAAAGCACAATCCCAGGGGCTGCAGATCCTGAAAGCCTGTTTTTTTTTCTGCGAGTCAGTTGAGGGGCAAACTATGAAAACTGAGCTCAGAGCATTTAGGACTAGTAGGAAATTAAACTGTAACTACCTGCTTCTGTAACCTGTAGTACTTCTTGGAAAGATCAACACTTGTCCGTCCTTTCTGAAATGGGTAAGACCACAAAATTAAATTCCAGTGATTACCCATTTCCTTCACTCCATTCAAAAGACAGTTAATTTCTTCAGTTGTGAAATCTTTTCGGGTTCTTCTTCCTCTCTTGTTCAAGGTTCTCGTGTTCATGTCCAGGGGACGTATTTCACTGCTCTGCAAATATTTATGTTGGTGTAATTACAGATTATGCCAATTGACAGACTATTTGGCACATGGAAGTAGGGTATTGCTGTCAATACACCCTTGAGCAGTTGTAAAGTCAAGGCAACAATGGCTTTTCAAGGTTTCTTCACTGCCACTGAAATACAGTATTTTTCTGTGGTCTTTACCTTTGTTTCTGTTGTACCTACACAGCTTTTACCTTCAGTGGGTTTATTCCCTTAGGTTTCTGTTATTTCTATACTGTGCAAGTTTTCATCAACACAGAAAAACTCATACCTCCGTATCCATCATTCAGAAAAGACTGTCAGCTGAAAAATGCTTAACTCAGCTCAGGATAAATCACTGTGACTGGAGTAGAATCAACAGAGCAATATCCTTTTAATAAGGTTCATTTTGCTACTGGGCTCCTGTTAAAGGAGACTCAAAAAGAAATGATGCAATTCACAGTGCTTTTCTTTGGCCATTTACAGATATGGGAGTGCATGGTTAGGCTCTGCATAACTCACCTCATCTCTGTCAAGTGCATGGATGCAATTTCCTTGGAAGTGCTGACATTTCTGGCTGCACATTTCTTTGACTTTTTGTCTCCTCAAGTTGGCATCTTGGGTTTTTTGGAAAGCTGTGGAATTGGGAACAAGGAGGCTCTTGGTTACTTTAACTGATACCTACTGTAGAACTAAATGTAGTGCTTAAAGGAGAATTTCTTTGAATGAACCTCACTGCCCTTACATCTGTTCTAATCACTGACATTAACACAGGGGGATTATTTATGCTCTGAGCAAGTGGTAGTGCTACTGATGGGGGAGAAACTCCTGGGATTAAAGCCAGGGGTTTGTTTAAATCCTTAGCCATTTGTCCCCCAAAACTGCTTCTCTCAATGCCCTGAGCTAAATGCAAGCCTGATCTTTAAGTTATGCACATTAGAGAATTAATTTTCTGGTAACACTCACACTTCTCATAGGCAGGTGTCAAGTTATAGTTGCCAGTCCACCTGATATTTTTATGGTGTTCATCTCTGTTTGAAGTCTTAGGCTTGGGTTTTCTGCTTGGAGTCAAAAGAATACCTTAAAAGAAATCCCAAACAATAAAACATTGCACATCTTTCTTAGGAAAAAACAAACCACAAAACATGGGTCATGTTTTAGGAATTAAAACTGAAGGGAGAACCATCTTTTGAGCATTTACTACCATGTGGTCTTGGAAGAAAGACTGGAAAATTCAGTTTACTTCAGTGTACAGAAAATGTTTACTTGCTGATATAAGTTGTAATATTGCTGCAAAGGACTCTGAAGATAAAATATAATTGTTTGGGGAGGACTTTTTTAAATTTTAAAGTACCTCTGTGGCTATCACAGACAAATTAATTTCTGAATCTGGAGGGAAAAAATATAAACCAGCTTTTACTGGAAATTAATTAACTATGGGACCGTATAAAGAAGGGGTTTGAAAACAGAGTATTAAAAATAAATTGCTGATTTTTCAAAGAGAATGCATTTTAAAGGAATATTAATGGTTTAGAATGGAAGTACTGATTTAGAGAACTGCTTCAACCTGCTTGAAAAATTCTGGTCATCAGTCGTAAGAAACAGTGATGGTTACCAGTGGTGAATGTAGGAATTCTGCAGGTACCTAACCCACCACATTCTGCAAAAAATTGCTGCTGAGTTGTGTAAAAAGGGGGAAAATACCATTAATGTTTTTGCTATATTGCAGAATAAAATCTCTCAAAGGTGTGGACTCTGCTACAAATGGGCAGTTGTGTGTCATAAAGAACACCAGGTTTTATGGGCAATGATGGTTCTGCAAACACAGGATTCCTAAACTGCACTGCAGAAATGGTGGAATTTCTGCTCCCTTTCCCAGCTCTGCCTCGTTAATAACTTCTTATTCAGAACCTCCCAGTAAATAAATAGATAACATTTGCTGGCATATTAATATATAGATTATTCACAGAATTTAGAGAAGAAAAGAAACCACCATAATTCTCTATCCATAGTAAAGTTCTGCAAAATATTAACACAAAATAATGGCTTTTTGCATAATTTCCAAATCCAGCCCTTACTTTGGAAACTGTCCTTTTTGCTCCTAAATGTTGATATTTCTGTGTGCAACCTGCCTTTGTTCAGCGGGGTCAGCACTATTTCTGGAAAATATAAGATGAACACCAGCACAAATATCAGTAAGTAGTAACTATTTAATTTTCAAAATTAAGCACTTTTTCTTTAAACCAGAAAAATAGAGGATGTGCTTTTATTGTATTCAAGCATCTTAGACCCTCATGTATATGTTATATTATGATGTCATGCATTCACACTGATTTCAAATTATTATAATACATTCCCTTCCCTTGGTTCTTGACTGGCAAACATCCCAGTCCCATCAGAGCCTGGAATGAGGATCTGCCCCCGCTGCCAAGAAATGCCCAAGATTCTCAAAGCAGAAGTGGCCCCTTCTGATATGACTTAGTGCAAGTCACTGGTAAATCAAATGAAATGAGGGAGTTAAACCAGCAGGGCAGTCAGAAGCAGATCACAGAGAGTTCTGAATTTGGAATGCCATTTAAAGCAGTGGTTACAGCTGCTGACAATGAACCTGCACTGTCCTGGCTCCTGTATCTGCTGCTGTTGCCATCAGCCCGCTCCCGAAGCTCCCTCCTGTATCTCTCCTCAGCCTCCAGGATGACTCTGTGATGGTCACACGGGTGCAGACAACTTTGCAACATCTTGGTGAAGGTTCTGCTGTTGAAGGACAGTCCTCCTGCTACACAACCTGCAAAGCCATGGGACACTGTAGAAATAGCAAGCAGAGATGCCCCAGGAGCCACCACAAAGTCCAGCATCTCATTTTTATCCCTATGATCTGCAGTTTGACCTCTGGGTTTCCACATGAACATGGCAAAGAGGTCTCATTTTTATGTATCTTTTTGAAAATACTTACTTGTTTTGTACCTTCTATCTTAAAAAAAAATTAAGAAGTATTTTCAGTGTTTTATGAGACCAAGTTAAACTGCACTTCAACTCCACAAGTACTGGCTGAGGCACAGATCCCCCACAGCAGTAAAAATATTAGTGGGATGGGAAAAAAGAGGCCTCAGTTCCATTTGCACATTTATCCAGGAGCCAAAATATAAGATATATCTTCGCTATGCTTTGAAACTTTGTGTTGCAACAGTTATCTGTATTAACTTGGATGAATGGCAGGAATTCCCTCACAGAAAACCTTCCTGTTTTGTTTTTTTTTTTTTTTTTTGAGGACATTCCCAGGGTAATTTATGGTTCAGTTATTCTTGGATGTTCTCATGATTAAGTTACATCAGCTGAGGGAGGACTTGTGTGAGGAATCAGAAGAAGGGCAATATGTACAATGCTCAAGCAGTGCTAAAGCTCAGGTTGAATTTAATTTGACAGCTTGGATAAAAATAATGTTCAAAGGTGGGTTAGGAGCTGCTTTGGGGTTTGTTTGGAGGTTTTTTGTTGTTTTGTTGTGGTTTTTTTTAACAAAGAAACACAGGCTTGGTTACAAAATCCACTTACAAATCCTGAGCACCAGCAGCATTCTTATGACCTAGTGACAGAGCATGTTGAGCGAGCAGCAACAGAGATCTGCAGTCCTGGATTACCCAAAATCTGAGTGCCTGCACTAAACAGACAGCAGAAGAGCTGCACAACAGTCAGGAGGCTCAGCAGGAGAATCAGTGAGGGAAATGAGCAGGGCCACATGTTCTTCCTCTGACTGTCCCATCACAGAAAGGAGGAAATCACCCCAAATTCTTGTAAGAAGTGTTATCTTTTAAGCTACTGTAAACTGTTTGTTGGCCAGCCCACACTGATACATGCATCAAAACTGCCATGTCAGCTTTATTGCAATACTGAGCTTTCATTTTAGAGGCACAAAAAGGAAACAGTTAAGATTTCCATAGGTCATAGAACAGATGTGCTAAAGTTTCTGTAATGTCAGAAATAACTCACTGCACTGCTGACCCTTTAGGGCTCCTGTTGTGTGCTCTGGAAAGAAAGACCTGAGGCAATATTTACCTGAACACCTTAAATCTGCCATGTTATGGGATGAAGATGGTGCTGAAGTTCTCTTGTGTTTCCTGGTGATCTCTGAGGAGGATGAATTTTGATCTAAATGAGGAAGGAAAAAAAAAAAAAAACCTTAGAAAATGTACACTGCCTCTGCCATGGCAATCATGCATCAGTGTGTCTACATTGCATTTTCTACCTGTAAATTATTAAAGGCTAATAAACACAACAGTAGAAAATCCAAATTAAATTCCTCAAGTTAAATGCACCACATTTATATTTTTGTAAATCCAGAATAATTGTGTTCAATTCAGTGCTTTTTCATCACTCTCCCAAAGGATATTCCTTCAACTTCAACAGCAAATGAAACCTGTAAACTTATATTGCTTAACTAAGGCCTATAAACTTCATTTCTGTTTGGAATCTGATGCTGGAGAATGTGAGGTGCTGGAATAATATGAACTCTCAGTTAAGAAGGTCTAACCTGGAGATCAGTTTGTCATCTGTAAAGCCACCATTCTGGCAAATACTAATCTAATGAGCACTTATACATTTTATAAACTAACAGGAAACTAAGTGATGAGTAAAGATTTGATTGGACAGCCCCCAATGCTGGCATAAATTTAATAAGTAATGTAATAAATGATCTAGGATCAATGCAAATCTGAAAAAAAAGAAAGCTACAATATGTATCAGAAGAAAAGTACAATAAGTATTCTCCTGGTAAAATTGTGTACAATATAAAATTCCAATACTGTGCAAACCATGTATCTAATGATACATAACAACTGGTAAAAAGCAGTGATAAAAGTACCCAAAACTAATCTAAAACTCATTAAGAACAAAAAGAAAGGAGTATGTTCAGCTGTTTGTACCTGCTGGGCATGGCTGTGTCCGGTTTCTAACAGGCTCTGCTGATTGTTGAAATAACTGTTCACTGGGAAGAAAACAGTGGGAACAAATTAAAAAGAATAAAATGTCACAACATACATTTACCTGTAAATTAATAGGCACAGTCCAATGGAAAAATAAAAAAGAAACATCTGAAAGATAAAACTCTCAAAAATTTATTCTAATTATCCCAATTTCCCGGGCTTATGGCACCAGTATGTAACTTGTAAAATTTACCTGAATGTACCATGGACAATTATCCAGGCTCTTGGCAATTTCTGTGGTAGTTGCAAAGTAACAGTATAATGAATATAAAGGAACTGCACAGAGCAAGGGGCAGCCACATCAAAATGTAAAAAAGTAAAAATGTGGGACTCAAAAAATCCCCAAACCAAACAAAGGAGAAAAAAAAAAAGAAAAGCAAAGCCCCCAAAACAAAACTCACCATGAAACAAAACAAAACACAACCAAACAAAAAAAGGCAAAACCAAAACCAACCAACCAAAACCAAACTGAAAACCCCAGAGAAACACAGTTTTGCTCCTCCTCTCCCACTACATGTCCTGAGGGATATTCCTTATATAAATTCCAGAGAATAGCTTGTGTTTATCATTGCAAGTTGCCTATCAATAATTTATTTCTTAAGAAAGATAAGCATGAGAAGCAAAGGAAGAGGAAAGTCACCATTTGTGTGAGAGCAACGAGCAAGAGAACAGGAAATGACTGGATAGGGCTGCACCTTTCTCTTCCCATGCAAAGCAACAATGGAACATGAGGGGAGAAAAGTGGGGGAGGGAAAACATTTCCCCCAGTTTGTAGCCACTCCAGTGTCAATGTTTTTCCCCCAGTTGTGTCCCTGCTGTTTTCCTGGTAAGTGCACATCACAGAATCCTTGGTGGTTGGGTCCACACCAAGGCAGGTCTTTATCTGCTACATCAGGGAGAGTTTTGAGGCGAAAGCCAGGGCTGATTCCTCCCCACTGTGCTGAAGGTGCTAAACATGGCCTGGAAAGGGCTCTCTGTACAACCCACCAGCCAGGGAAAAACATCAGCAGCTTTTGTAACTACAGTGTCTACAATCTCTGGTCTGTGGTCTCAAACACACTCCCACAGAGTGTCCTCCAGTGGGCCACCAAAAGGCTGTGTCTTTTCACTGGAAGAAAAAGACACAGTTGGTAAGAGAGAATTTAAAAGGCTGACATGCAATTTGGAAATTACCAGGGAAGGCAATTTAGTATTTTTGTTCAGGTGTAGGATCCTTACCTTGCCTGAGGAACAGACTGATGTTTCCCACAGGCAGCTTTGTCATTCACACTGTGACTCTGAAGTGCTCTGTCTGTTTGCAGTTCATTCCCTGAACACGGAATATTGCTCTGCCCACTCTGTCCAGCAGAAGCTGCACGCACAGTGTTCACTGCTTCACTTTTTCTTGGAGGACAATTTACAGATGGAGCAAGAACCTGATCATCCAACTCCAAGGCCAGCTGTGGGCTGTGATGTTCTTTATGTGCTCTTTGTAGGTACATTTTTGGATCAGCAGGATTCACCTTATGGGATTCCATTGCTTCAGGATTGCCTGCTGAGGGTCCATCCACAAACACTCCGCCTTGCACTCCTTCCTGCATTGAAAAGTAGTGTGTGAGTGCATGAGCTGTGCAGAATTTACACAATCAGTAACCAGGTTAACTCACAGAGCAGCCTAACTGTGAAGGGAAAACAGCCCAGAGACGCTGCAGAGCAGCCTGGCTGAGCACAGAGCCCAGCACAGCCGTGCTGCTGGAGGAGCTCAGGGCACAGCCACTCATCAATCTGCTGCCAGTGCAAGAAACTGCTAGAAATGAGCTTAACATCCATCTAAACAACTCATGAACTCACTGTTCCAAACCCAGAGATACCAGGCAGCTATAAAGCACCTGGAAAATACGAAACAACCTTGTTTCAGTTTATGTTCACATCCTCCTTTACCACATCCCACCACAGCTGTACAATCATGGGCATTTCACGCATGCAAATATTAAAATTATAGGTTTGAATGTCCAGCAATTAAAAACAAATTCAACTTCTTGTTTCTCCAGCCTAATTATGTCTATTTTGTCGAAAATCTGGGTTTATAATAAACTAAAATGCTTCATAAAATACAGATGGCTCCATTCTCTGGTTGCCCTGCACACAAGTAACTGGGTATGATCCACAGTAATGGTAAAAGTTGCAGGTTGTACTTTCCCACACATCCAATGTTTTTCCTGCTTTCTTAGCTCACCCTGAAATTATCCCGAGGGTTTACTTTCTCTTTCTCCCTAAAACTCTGTAAAGATTTGCTTAGTTTTATCCTACTTTGGTAAATAGGCCAACCTCAGCATGTTCTTGTTCAATCAGGTTTATTCTGTGTAAAATCTCCCCTGCTTGTTTACTTTCTCCCTAAAACTCTGTAAAGATTTGCTTAGTTTTATCCTACTTTGGTTAATAGGCCAACCTCAGCATGTTCTTGTTCAATCAGGTTTATTCTGTGTAAAATCTCCCCTGCTTTCTTCCAGTAGTCTTGTAGACTTCTCTTCCTGACTTGCACATCCTCTTCTTCTTCATTGCTCACACTCAATGAATTATCATTTATTTTCAGAGACAACTGTTCAGCTTTATAAAATATAAAACAAGATTAATACTTAAAATTTTATCGATGAACATCTTAGTAAGCATTTATTATACTTTATTATGCTGAGGGACAGACGCAATAATTTAATGCAAAGTGTAATCTCTGAATAATAATTTTTATAAAACTTAAATGTATTTTACACATAAATATTAACACGCTTCAAATATAAACTGCAGTCACAAGAGGTGAGATTGTGGTTATAGTTACTATGAGCTGCTTGCACAGTGATGCTGTGTAAAAAATGACTTTTCCATTGACTTAATTCTAACTCTATGAGTTCTGTACCAGTATAAGTTTCTGCTTGCTTAAAAAACAATTCCATATTAATGGACACTGCAAATCACTACAGCCCCTCAATCTTAAAACCCTCAGTTACGATTTCAGTACAAAAATGTACTGAAGATACATGAAATTTAGTAATTAGCAATTGCAAACCTTCCGTGCTGTAGAGATTAGAGGACAAGGTGTCTTTCTGTTCCACTGTGCAGATAATTAATACAAAACTTAACCAGGGTGCCCCAAAATCCACCCTGCTTACAAAAGAAAGAGCAAGATTTCTTAACATTGCAAAATGATTGTAGTAGGTTTGATTATCTACTGGTGTCTTCTCTCCCTGACATGGCACATTCCCAGGAATAAAGTACCCACAGTGCTCTTATTTTCCACAGCATCTCTAGAAGGGAAAGCTTTTAAAAACTGCCCCTACATTTACAGTTTCACAAAGGCATTCCTGCCACACTGGTGAAATCCTTGCTTTTCTTTTTGCTGCCCAAATCCGTAGTTTGGTGGCAAAGAGGCAACCTTTCTGCAGGAACCAGCCAGCTCTGGGAGCTGCCACAGCTAAAATCCTTCGGGAAAGTAGCAGAACACAGAGAGGGAATAATCACTGTCATTTTAAAAGCAGGAGCTGCAAACTTACTCATCTGTTTGCAGTTTTGCAGCACGAAAGTAGCAGCTTTGATCAGCTCCTCGTCCTGAGATTCTGTCAGCACCTGAATCATCAGTGGAAGGCCATTGTTCTGGAGCAGCTCACACTGGTTTTCTTCTAAAATGGGGCATAATAAAGGAAAATGGATTGGTTTCAGCCTCAAACACACTCAATCCTACAGTAATTTAGGAGCTAATACCTATAATTTTCTGGGAAATTCTGCAAAAGATGTTTTCCTTTCCCAGATCCAAGGCTGCTGGAATGCCCTCCCCCCTGGCTGGCAGCAGCAGAGCTTTACAGCACAGTTACAATCACCCAGGGTGATCTGACCACAACTCAGATCTCTGGTAAGAAAACCAAAGGATGACTGAGAGAAATGATGTGATGGGGTTCCAAATTCATTCGGTTGTTGCCAGAAACATTTGAACTGTGGCTTCTGTAGCTCTTTTCCTCCATTACATCACACTACATTGCTGTAAACCCTGAGGTGCAGAGATATCAAAGGTTTAAAGTTTATAATTAGTAATGCTGTAATAAATTTAACAGTTTAATCCTGGTCTAACCACACTCTTCCTCTTCATTAACTATGTCACCCGATAAATTTTATTTTTTATTGATTGATTATTTGTTTATTTATTATTTTAATTTAATTTATTGTATTCATTATTGTTATCTCATTTGCATATGGATTCATCAAACTTGATGAAGGCAACTTGATAAAAATAGTTCTGTGTTGTTTAAACATGATAAAAAAGGAATAAAAAAAGGAAATATGATTTTTTTTGGTTGCCATTCTAAGAGAAATTTTTATTCTGTTGGTTTAATTGTCTTTCAAAAACATTTTCCATTGAGCTTTGTTTCAGTGAATTATTCATGAAAAAATGTCTTTTAAAATAGACTTATGACCTACTGAGCTAATTATTGAACCTTCTTGACATTCAGAGGGTGACAATCAATCAGAATTTTTGAACACGGAGCCCTGAGGAGCCTGGCAAAAAGATTTCAGGGCTACCTACTGTTTGTTGTTTCAAACCCAATGCTATTATATAGCCCTTAAAAAAATTAATAGCTATTGAACCAATGGACAGAACCTGAATATCACAAGGACCATTAAAAGAGAGCTCCAGACAACTCCTTTGGTGTGTTTATATTGTAGCAGTTTTTAGGCCTGGATTAATTTCACCCAGTCATCCCTAAGCCCAGCTCTGAATTCTTGTATAATAACCTATTTTTTCAGAGCTCCTGAAGATACCATCTGCTAACAAGTTTGAAATTTTAGAGATGGAACATGATAGAAACCTTTTTTTCTGACTATTACCATTCCATTATTTAACAGAACTTTCCCTCATGTTCCAGTCCTGATGAAACGACACCACTGAAGGAGTTTTGTGTGTGAAAATTTAGCAGAAGCAGAGAGAGCAAATCTTACCACAGACTTCAGTACAGTGTCCAATTGTCAGAATAATGCTGATTTTCTCTCCTGTGTTCAGGGTCTCATGGCACAGCAGCTTCAGCAGCTCGGACACGGTGTGATACTTGGCCAAGACAACCCCCATGGCAGCTGTGATGGTCAGAACAATCAGGAGATGATAAAGTGGATCACCAGTGTCCAGCATCACCCAGCGTTCAGTGCTGCTCCTCAAGGCAGCTCTGCAGAGCTCCCAAAGCCTGGGGGCTGCACAGTTCTCCTCCTCCCTGTCCTCAACCCCCCAGATTCCCACATCCCTCCTGCTGCAGCTCCCAAATCCAGCACTGCCCTTCCTCCCACACTGTGGGGTTTGCAGCTGGGACAGGATAGAATTACACAAAAATCTGCAGCCCCAACTGGGATGTTTATAACTTACTGGCCTTTTAGCATCCATTTATATCACTTTTATAACACAAGACTTTAAACATTTTAAAGTTAGCATATACGGATAATGACAGCTGTCCTTGCACTCACAGTTATTGGCAATGCAGGCATCCAGAGTCTTGGTTACAACTACTGCAAGTTTTGTGCCAGAGTGGCTCAAGCAGGAGTCGTGCATGAGCTCAAGGAGAACCTTAGCTAATGTATCCAATCCTCCAATGGAAACAAAATATTTCTGCACATATGCTTGGTGAAGAGAAAAAAAAAAAAAAAAAGAAAAAAAGAAAGAAAAGAAAAAACGTGGTTTCAGTAATACAGTTTGCAAATCACTTCAGCATTTTGCCAGTTGGGTTCATCACAGTTTTTCTGTGTATGCATCAATCATTACATTTCCAGCCATGCAACAGAAGCTGGATGTATATTAATCTCAAGAAATGTCATATGAAATACTTACAGGAAACAGCGACCCTAACACAGCACACAAACGGCAAACATTGTGCCCAAGTTCTACCTAAATCATTGTTTTCAGTGATGTAATAATGACTTCTATTTATAAAATACTTCCAATCAAAACAGCTTCCAAATAATCTGTACTGACCTTACCAAACGTAAGTGGTTTGTGGCTATTTGTGGACTTAAGCACAATGTAGTGTAAGTATATATAATGGCCAGTCTCTTCGCGACTGAAGAACCGGGGAAGGTCTTTCCACCTTCCAGCCTGCGCATTGGATTTTTTAGGTGAGACACAGTGTGCGCGGAACTGAGCCCACCCTTTAATCCTGAGGTTCATCTGCCGGGGCCAAGCACGCTTGGACGGTGGCAGCGAGGTCCTCAGGACGTAGATGGATTGCCTTACAGGCTAACGAGCTCCATCTGCCCGGGAGTGTAAGTAAAGATGATGGAATATAGTTTTCAAAGTAAAGGCTGGAAGAACAGCAAATGAATTCGTAGAGACTGACCCAAAAAAACCGAACTATCTCGTTAAACTTACTCTTAACAAAAGCAAAACTGTGTAAAGCTTGAGCTGCACTTACAGTTATTTGCAACTGTGAGCCCAAGAAACGAACAGATGGGACGAACTATGTCGGGCTCCGTGCAGCTCTCGAGCCACTCCTTGGCGTAGGGGAACACCGAGCAGCAAATGTTTTGGTTATCCTCTGCAAAAATAAACACAAACAAGCCGCGCTGAAAGGCCCCCTGAGCTGAGCAGTGCGGTGACAGCAGCCCGTGGCAGCGCGGGGAGGGCGGCGTGGCGGCCGCGGGGCACACGCACCGTTCTGGGGGTTGTTGACGCAGGCACAGAGAGCGCTGCACACCGAGCTCCACAGCTGGTAGCGCTGCTCGCCGGCCGCCTCCGACAGCGCCGTGCCCGCCGTCAGCAGGGTTGTTCTGGGGGGGACACAAAGCCAGGGGGTGAAGGAAAGGGGACTCCGCATCGCTGGAGCCCTCGAGTGTCTGCACCGCTGGGTGTTTACCTGAACAGCTGCAGCAGCAGGCTGATGCAGCCCGTGTCTCTGACGTGGGTTTGCCCGTTTTCTACAAGAGAACAAACACAAGACTCCACAGACACCGGCAACTTGAGGCAAAATCTCAAGGTCAGGTTTAATTTACATACATGCATCTCATTTCCTAAGCACAGATCCTCCCCAACACGTTGGTGAAAGCATTCCATTTCTTTCTGTCTTTTTCTAGACATTGTCACAAACTACTGGTTTGCATTACCCTTTTTTAAACTATATTTTGAAAACTAAACCACTTTCTGCTGTTTAAAGAAAACCCAGTGAGCAATGACCTATTTAGACAATTCAGGTTCAGTTACGTGCAAACATTCATCTTTATAAATTAACTTAACCAAAGCACTACTTATTGGATATTCCAAATTTTGCATGGCAGATTGGCAAACAGAAAAAAGTGGTGGTGTAATACAGAAAAAAACCCCAACTTACTATTATTTGAAACCAGTACTAAGATGACATAAACAGACATTCTTTTCAAGTTCACACCAGAATCCTTATTAATTAAAAATAAAATGAGGTCTTCAAACAATGCAGAAGTACACAAAGTCTGTTGACAGTACACTGGAAACAGAAAATGAACACCATTAAATCCTAAAGTAAGTTGCTCATAATCCCAAATTATTAAATCTCAGATGTGGCCAGTACGTGAGGAGTGGAGACAAAACAGGACTATAAAGTGACCCAGGGTTTTCCTGTGTAGTGAATTCTAAACCAACCAGGGCTCGGCAAACTCTGGGACAATCTGAGTCATTTAACACTTGCTGGTGAGGAAGAGGAGGAGCTCAGCTGGCTGGGGACATGCAGACAGGGTGCTGTGTCACATCCAGGCACGGGCAGGGCAACAGGGGCACCTTTACTGCCCCTGGCTCCAACTGGTCACCTTGTAATCTGATTGTCTGAGGCCAAAAAAAAAGTGGAGACAAAGCACAAGAGAAGTATTTCTCACTCAGAAATACAAAAAATATTGCTTAATATTACCATTACTCTCTATAATAATCCCCAGTGTAAACAAAGCTGCTTCCTTCACCACGCAGTGAGCACTTGACTTTGCAAGGTCACTTATAAACATCAAACCTCCAATTTCTCGAAAATATTCACTTGCTTCACCTACAAAGGAGAAAAAATAACAAAAATGACCCTTTAGCTTTTGTTTCTTTGTAAATCGTAGGCCTCCCAAGATTTTACGACTTCTCAAGCCTTACATCCTTTAGACAACTCTTTTGCAGTGACCACCAGTTCTGAACATACGTGGTGGACATAAATGTTTCCAAGGAAAAACATTCCTTACTGTTTTGTTGACAAATGGAGTAAATAGTGATCAAAGCTTCCTTCTGAGACAGAGGGCAGTCCATCTGATATTTGAGGCATTCAAGCAGTAAGTTCAGATCTGTTTTCATCTCTAAGAGCAAACACAAAAATCTTCATGAAATTTGTTATTTTTCGATATATTAATCTGTTCGGTATCACAATAAACCTGACCAAAAATGTAGCATGCACAAGCATTAAAAAAAAAAAAAAAAGTGAGCAAAAACAAAGCTACACCCCTTCTATCCATCCATAAATAACAAACATTATTGCACCTTAACCCAGAAATATTGCTGTGCAGAGTTTGTTTTCTGGGCACCTACAAACAGCCCTGGGTAAGGAAAAACTTGGAAAACCTGTTTCTTAAACTTTGGGTTATAATAAAAAGATTATGTGGTGATTATTTGCAAAGGTGACAGCAGTTACTGTATATTGTAAACCCTTGTAAGGGTGGGGGTTTCTCAAAAAAGTTATAGGACAATAAAAATGTGGGTAAATATTAGCAAATTTTTTAGAAAAAGGTAACCTTGTGGTGTGATTTCCTATTTGAATGTTTGTCATTAGATGTGCCCTTTAGGTATCCAATACAGCATCCAAAATTCAGAAAAAGAGCTTTTTCCAACAGCTCCCCACCCCAGGCCAGACCTATCCCAGTCTACTAAAGATTTGTAGAATTGATGCAGATAATAAATGACAAATTCTCTTAGGTGTCCTACCACACTGATTCTTCTGCACCTTTTCAATGTCCATTTTTGGCTGTATCTCTGTTCCTGGTCTAAAACAGCAAGGAAAAAGTGTTTTCATTTCTGTTCAGATTAGCAGTGTTTATAACACAGGCAGTATATATATATATATTTCCACTTTTCTGGTTTTACTCTGTCACCTGACACACATACACAGTTTAATGTTCTCTGGCATGGCAAAGATTTCCTTTGGAAATGCAGTATTTTATAATAACCCTGCATGTGTAATAGTGTGTTAGCACCTTTTAAAGTTACCATTTTGCAGGGCTCAGGTGTTCCCATTGTGGGGGCACCATCAGTGTCTCTGTGTCACTGGTCACGATAAAGCTGATCCAACAACTTGCCAAAATCAGCCAACAACTTGCATTAAAACCCCCAGGAAATGTTACCCAGAGGGTGAACATATAAAACCTTCAGCCTCCTGCTGATGCTCAGGGAGCCTCTAAACTATAACTTTTATTGGCACTGGTCAAAGTAAAACCAATGCTGAGACATGATTCCTTGAACTGAGAATTAATTTTAATTCACCAAAGACTTTAGATGAACCACAAACCCCAGAGCACTGACTCTTCACAAACCCAGTGTGCCAGGATCTGGGATTCAATTGAACATCAGGGTGACATTTAGGTTTGGAGAGAGAAAGGTGATCCCTCAAACATGTCCCAAGCCCCCCCCTCAAAAAAAAGGTTGATTCAACCATCACAGTAACCTATTTCAATTTGTCAAAAATTATTTAGCTCCAGGTAGAAACTTTAAATCACTGATAAATTCAGCTTAATAATGCATTAGTTTTCCTTCTCCAAGTGGAGCAGAGGCTCTAAACATTATCAGTGTCCTCTTGATGAAGCCAGCCAGCCTTGCTTTCCATTTAGAGTTTAGGGTTGTCCCCATTCCTTTGCTGTTTCCAGAAGAGAGGGAAAATTTAAAAAGACCTCATCTTCCTTCACCCTTTCAGAAGCCATAATATATATGCATTTCATTTTCTTGCAAATCCAACCCACAACAGGGAAAAGCTTGCAAGTCTTCCTCACCTCTTGTTGTCCCTTCTGCTACCACCCTGCCAGCCTAAGAGAAAACAAACCCCCTACATGTCCCCTAGCAAAAGGAAGGCTGTAAAAATCAGCTAACTCTGGAGCTGACTGCATTTCAGTAGAGTTTAATTAAATATACATTTATATTATTAAGGAGCCTTTAATATAAGAAGCACACGGTTTTTAAAACTGTATAGAAAGATACATCTTGACCTTACCTGGGTCTATTTTTTTGAAACCTACAGAAGGTACACAAAATAATATTTATAAGCTAGCCCACATGAAATGCAAATATCTCGACTCTGATGTTGCATTACAGGGCAAAGACGAACAGACAAGCTACAAGATTTGCTGCAAGGAACTTCTGCCTAATGTTGCATATAAAACAAATCACCTGTCAGTTACGGAAAATAACCCAGTAACATCACTTCAGAGCTCAAAAAAACACTCTTAGAGAAGTTCAGGTCCGTTAGCCTGTTTGTTCAGCAGCACAGGGGCCACACCAGCCAGCCTCAGCGGGATTTATCCTTGGAAAACCTGGGACCAAACCCGCTGTTGGTGTTCCATGGAAACCCAAATTCCCATCAGCAGCGAGGCCGTGAGGACACTGCTCGGTGCAACAGGGCTGTGAGGTGAGATGTTCCTGCCCTGCTCCAGCTCCCTCCCTCAGCTGAGCCGTGTGTGAGTCACGGCTCCTTATCAGAGCCTGCTTTGAAGTCTTTGCGAGCGCTCCACATCGCCCCAGATATAAAACGGAAAGAACATGTAAAGGACTCAAAAAAAAAAAAAAAAAATCTGACAAAAAAGAAAGGCGAACAGCACAAAGATGAAACAGCAGCAGCACTCATCTGTGGGAGGGTGGGGAGCACCGTGGGGCGCGACATGGGGCACGGATCGGGTACCTGTGACCCGGCAGCGGGGGTGGCTCTGGGCACACACCGAGGCGATGCCGGTCCTGCCGCCGAGCCCTGCCCGCCGGGCTGAGGGGAGCGGTGACCGCTCCGGGCCGAGGGGGGAGCGGCGACCGCTCCGGGCCGAGGGGGGAGCGGCGACCGCTCCGGGCCGAGGGGGGAGCGGCGACCGCTCCGGGCCGAGGGGGGAGCGGCGACCGCTCCGGGCCGAGGGGGGAGCGGCGACCGCTCCGGGCCGAGGGGGGAGCGGTGACCGCTCCGGGCCGGGGGGAGCGGCGGCCCCGCCGTGCCCGGCCCTGCCCGCGGTGCCTCCTGAGGGAGCGGGGCCGCCCTCAGCCCTTCCCGCCCTCCGCGGCCCCTCAGCAGCCGCCGCCGGGCAGCGCCGCCCGAGCGCCTCAGGGCGGGCTCCCCTCGGGCACGGGGGATCCCCGAACCCTCTCCTGATCCGGAGGAGATTCACGGGGCTTTCACGGAATCACAGAATCGTCAAGGCTGGAAGGGACCTGTAAAATCATCCAGTCCAACGCTGCTGAACCACATCACCCAGCACCAGCCGCAGACGCCTCTAACACCTCCAAGGATGGTGGCTCCAGCACCTCCCTATTCCAATGCCTGATCTCCCAAACACAGCAATTTTTTTCTAATACCTAATCTGAATCTCCTGTCTTAGTCTGAGGCCAGTTCCTCTGTGCTCTCACTGCAGGCATGGCAGGAGATCGACCCACCTCCCCACCCCTCCTGTCAGAGAGCTGTAAAGGGCCATGAGGTCCTCCCTGAGCCTCTTCTGCAGGATAAAAAACCACAATTCTCTCAGCTGCTCCTCATAAGATGTTCTCTAGTCCTTTCACAAGCCTTTTTGCCCTTCCCTGGATATGTTCCAGCCCCTCAGTGCCCTTCCTGAATTGAGGGACCCAGCAGTGATTTTGAAAAAAAAAAAAAGTCAGGATTTCGTATCATTTTATTTGTCCTCAGGACAACAACCAAAAAAGGTACTTACAAATAAAGGAAGTTTAATTAGCAGATAATACAGAACAGAACAATCCAGTCAGTGGCAAACCACCACAGTATTTACAGAACTGTAAATACTGTAAAAACTGTAAATAGAGCAGCAGCAGCACCTTAGGGCATCAGTACCCTACAGCTGGAAAGTTGCTGAAGTCTGTGACATTCCACTGTAAATAAAGGTGTTGTTAAAAATTACAAACTGCCCTGTAATGACTTTGATAACCTCTTGTGCAGCAGCCCCTGTAAAAGAAAAATCAGAAGGCAGTTAGCAAGTCTTATTTAAACAACAGTAACCCAATGTTATTTATCTAGAACTCACTACACTGGAATTATGTGGGCAGTGCCTATTACACCTCCTAGGAGGTAAAAATGCCTTTCAGTACTTCCCAGCATTAAAGAGGCTCAGAAAGCTGCAATTTCCAAAGTTATTTTGCTGTATGTACTTTCTCTCCATGTACACACCCTCAGAGTAACACTTGTGAGCAGACAGGGCCATGCAAGTTGAGACCTCTCAAAATACAACTGAGGTGTTAAATTAAAAAAGGTATAATTAAACTGTAAAATAAACTGAAGGGTTACGTCACTGTGTTCCCCTTGTGTTTTCCTGTAGTGTGAAATATTCTGTAATTTCTTCAGAAGTTGCCTTCACGTATTTTTCTAAAGCACAATACATGCCAAGTTTCACTTAATCAGAGAAAATTCCTACACAGAGTATTTAAAACATAATTATCTTCAGCATTGCATGAAGCCAAATAAAGGAGGTTAGTTAACTGATATATCAATTTTGAGCATCCAATAAAACATGTCATTTTGACAATACTCATAGTCTGAATGAAGGTAAGAAATCAGTGCTATTTATATCTCACAGATACTTTATGTAAGTGTATTGTGTTAATTTAAAGGCTCAGAGCCATCCTCACCTGCCATGAAGGCAGTGGGAGCTCAGTGCCCTCCTCAGCTCCCATGAAGGCAGTGGGAGCTCAGTGCCCTCCTCAGCTCCCATGAAGGCAGTGGGAGCTCAGTGCCATCCTTACCTCCCATAAGGGCACTGGGAGCTCAGTGCCATCCTTACCTCCCATAAGGGCACTGGGAGCTCAGTGCCATCCTTACCTCCCATGAAGGCAGCGACAGCGTGTGGCTCTGCAGCTCCATAGCGACAGCTGGGCAGGAGAGAACAGTCAGAACGGGCCATCAGTGCTACCAGCAAAGCCCCTCCCAACTCAGCGCACTTACAACTCCTGGACATAGTCATCCTTCACCACCACCGACAGCCCGTGCTCCTGCAGGAAACTGGCAAGGCAGGATTTCAGTTTCCCGACATCGTCTTCCACCTGGTAGTTGTAGATGCCTGGGAAGGAAGTGAAGTGTTTAATCACACAACTGTAACATCACACACAAAGTTAACGGGGTCAAACGGCAGCAGAAATACTTTATTTTTCTGAAAAGTTTCTAAGCTAATATTATTAAAACTAGACAAATAATGACTGAATATTCTGTGGATGCTGCTCATGATAATGACAAATTTTTATGCAGCTGAACTTGTAATCCATTCAACCTATCTCAGTGTTATTAATTCAGACAAATGCCTTCAGTTCCCATAGCGAAAAAATTCTCACTTTAATTCTTAAAGTTAATATGGAAAGAAAACACAACTAATGCTGTATTTGTAGTTTATAACTACAGTATTACAGTTATTACAGTAACTGTTGGATCTTTGTATTTCTTTTTTTAACTCTGTATTACCATACCTGGGTATCTCCCGTGCTGCTTGTAAAATCTATTTACAGCCCTCAGCATCAAGTACAGCACTATCTCACTGTCTGGGTTGTCCATGTGGGAAACTGGGAACAGCAAGAGAATTGGTTAGGTGGTAGAGATGAGCTGGAAAAAGTTTGCATTACCTGAAATCAAGTATCACCCACATGCTTAAACTGTAAAATCTGCAGTAAAAAGAAAAAAATCTTAACGAAAACAACCTGCAACTGAGAATCTCAGTGCCAGATATGCAGTTTTGCCTCCAAATTTTATGACAAAACCATTTGATATAAACTATACATTGATGACATTCACATTTCAACTCTGACAGCTGCTCTAATTTAAATAGAATATATCTTAGTTTCTAACTCTGGGATTTGAAAAACATGCTTTAAATATTGAACTGTAATGACAGTAATTACAAAACAGGTCTTAAATCCTTTTCCATGCAGCTCAGTAAATGCTGCCTGCTACTTAAATGACATTGTATATGACCAACTAATTCAAGGAGCTTTCACTTAAGTGATATATAATTATTATACAAATATTACATTAAATGTACATTTTGTTCAAAACGGGACTTGTATAAGCTTCATTTCAACAAACTGTGATGAAAAAGAATTTTTTTTAAACTTATGCAGGTTCAGAACAACAAAAAAAAGCAGTATTAAGTAACTAGTTTGCTAGTTCACATATTTAACAAATAAGCTGGCAGAGGACAAGACAGTTCTTCTCATTTGGTCAGGGGAAAGCACCTTTCCAGATCTGTCAGAAATAACTGAGGTACAGAAAAGAGAAGTTTGAAGAAAACAGTGTTTTATTTATATACTACCAAAATTAAAATCTGCAAGAAAAAAACCCAACACCCTGAAGCGTAGAACAATCTGTGAGGTCATTTCTGAAATTTTAAAATCAAACTAGACTTAAAAACTCCACACTTCTAGTTGATGCCAAATCAAAAACCTGCATAATGCAGTAGAACACATAACAGACAAGTTCTTTTTCATCACAGAGATGTCTGAAGTGGGAAATGCAATCAAGATGTGTGTCAGAGGGCAGTACTTACCGATCTCATCCCTGTTGAAGGTGTTCGGGCTGTGCTCCTCAGCCAGGGACCTGCAGCGCACCACCCGCAGAAAGGCTGCGTTGCTGCCTGATGGGGGGCAGGAGAGGAGCATCAACAACCTCACGTCACCAGCACAAATCTATTCAACTACATGCAGGTCCATGGCCATGAGTATTTTAGTGCTGTGTACTCCTGGAATCTACATCAGCCATGTTAATGTAACAGCTGAAAACCAGCTCTTCTACAGCAGCCACAGCCATCAGAGCCACGTGTCCTCTTCCAGGCTGCAGATGAACACGGGTTCCTTCCACCTCCCACTGCACCTAATGCTGCCTCACATGTTCTCAGTTAATATTTGAACAGTGCAGCCACGAGACTGGAAAGGTTCTTTCGCAGTATCATTGCTACGAACCAACCCTGAGCGCTGCAAAAGCAGCAAGTGGGAGGTTGCCAAAGTGCCAGTGAGTGCCTCGGCAGCACAGGGACAGCATGCTCTGGGCTGTGTGCTCACAGGGACACTTGCCAGCTGCAAGGACACTGCAGCAGGACATGTGCACATACCCAGAACAGACACCACCTGAACTGCCATCAACTGCTTTACCTTTTCAGAATAGCACAAGTTTACACTGCAAGACTAGTTAGGTACTCATCACACAGAGCAGAGGAAGCTTCTCCCTCTTGCTGCAGCTGAAAAAATATATAATCTTTTAAAAGCCAACTGTTACAGATTCACTACTGAGAGATGCTGAACATCTGGTACTTCAACTGAAGACGAGGGGTGCAAATCACTTACTTGAAAAATTTAAATACTGACTAACTATTTAATAATTACATTATCATTCAGAAGTTTGTGGTTATTTGGTCATTTGCATAAACCCAACAACAGAATCCAAGCATACTCACAAAACAATTTTAATTCTCTCTCTGAAATGGACTCTGGTGCCTAAAAGAATATAAAAGAATATACTCAGTATATACAGTGACCAGAATTCATGCTTTCAGATATATTAATATCTTTATTGTGAAATAACTAGTCAGTAATGCGCCAAAAAAAAGGTATCTTAAACTGTAAATAATATATACCTGTATGCACTTTTATATGATCAAACCAGAAGTGATAAAATAAAGCAGACCACAGATGCTTCATTTCATCAGAACTTACTTAAACCTCTTGAACAGCAAGGGGTAGGTAATTTAGCCTTCTCTTCCCCTGTGTCTCCTGTGACTCATCTGTGGACAGAACACGAGGGAGAAGCTGCTCTGCCCCTGCCAGGGTGGCCGTGCACTGGCACTCACCTTGCCCAGGGACTGTAGCAGTTTGGCAGCGTGGGCACCCA